ACCCTAACCCTAACCCTAACCATATCAGATAGTTACCAGGGTACGTTCCGGCAGTACGCTGGGGGACATAGACCGTATGAGCGTAAGACACTCACCCTGTGTTCACTGACATACTCCCTCAGTGTGTCACTGTCCTCAGGGAGAGGTGACGCACAGCGTGTCTCCAACATGCGCTCAGCATTGTCCAGTGTCACCAGCAGCGTTGACAGCACGTCTGTCAAGCCCTTCTCGTCACCTGCAAGAATATTCGTCACCATCACTGTCATTGTAGCGTAAGCATTTCATCATGTCAATAATGCATGCTGTTTCCCTGGTTCTACGGGTAGCACATGCTAACCTTGTGTGAAAGATACCGGCCTCTCTCGCTAATTCTACATACAATCAACTTTCCTACTTCCGAAAGCCCTCAAAACCAAACCTCACGTTAAACCGGGCGATGTTACTAGCATACATGCCAACATATATTCAGGCCACAATTAAACAAATCTTTGTTTGCCCTCACCTGACCCAGGCTGAAAAGTTTTTTGTTAATGGGTGTTTTTATACAAATTCAGCATGGTGTCTACATGATCGGGTGTGCTTGTGTGGAGTTACCTTTTATGTTGAATGGTTGTTTTGCTTGGTACATATAATGTATTGCCTACAGATTTATATAATGTACAGTGATACAATTTGTAAAAAAAAAAAATTTTGAGTCGGCCCCTTTTTGGCGGGTCGGTCGGGTGAGGGCAAACAAACAATATTTTTATTATGGCCTCATATGATATTTGACGACGGTACCTTCTCGCTGTAGAGTTGTCGTGAAGTGCGTGTAGACCTCGATGCACGCCCGCACCTCATGCTGCAGCGATGACAGCTCCCTCTGCTGGCTGCCCTTGCTCTCCGCCATCAGCCCGCTGAGGTCCTGCTGCAGGGCTGTGATGATCTGCTCCCGCCTGTCCGGTCCCAGCTTCTTAAACTACACACACACACGTAATATAAATTAAATATTAATTAAATTAAATTTATTGATTTAATTAAATGAATTAAATAAAGTATAATACCATCTATAGGCGTGTTAGTGAAGATACAGCCACCTCCCATCACACTGAAATACTAGAACACATACAGATATAGCCTAGGAGGAACTAATTCACCAGACACATTGAACATGTAGTTTTTATTAACTAAACTACAGAAATTTGTAACGAAATTGAAATCACCTAATATATCCATAGCAAATGACATGTATGCGCATTGTGCACATGTAGCAAATGACAATAGCAAATAAACATATGTATATAATTTCGTGATACATTGGTGGATAGGATTGAACGACATATGTATATACACATAAATATGTATATAATTTCACGATACATAGGTGGATAGAACTAATGAAGTGACCAACCTGCTGTAGGTCCCACGACTTGACCATGTTTATAGCTGTGTAGAGCATCTGCACCTTCAGCTTTGTGTTCTGGTCTCTCCACAGCGACTTCAACTGCTCCAGCTGTTTCTGCAGCCTGCGTGAATATCGGCGAGATGTGCTTTAACACGTGCCAATAACTCACAAAAACTGGCCCATCAACGTCAAACATCCGAACCCAACAATTACAACAGCTTGAATACTATGTCTATATAGATTAAGGAGAGGGAGGAGCAGTATAGCCGGGGTACTCCTAAACATATAGGCAGGAGCTAATAATGACAAATTACTTATCATAACCCCATATTATCATCATTATTATCATTATTAGCTCCTGATATAGGTAAAACCATAAAAAAATTGAAAAAAATTCTTTTCCCAATGGTGCCAAAATGTCCTCGCAGTAAAAATGTGAAGAACGCATATTATAAACTAATCAATTTACTACCGAATGATTACAGATATTCCTCAGTTAAACTTAGTGCTACTGGCTACTCATACAGCATATGACACAACGCGAGGCAAGCAGCACTAATGCGAAATCCGAGACACGAGAAGAAAATGTGGGGCATGGGATACGAGGCATGGGATGTGAGACGTGAGACACGAGACACGTGATGTGAGATGCTCTTACCTTTGAGCGAGTTCAATGGCTTCGTCGTTCGGTGGCGGGATGAGGAAGCAGACGGACGGGCACACGTCCTCCTGCCGCGCCGTGTTACGCACACGCCACCTGGTGGCCTGCGAGTTGTCCAGCAGGAGGCAATCGTCATCCGTGTGGAATGTAACCTAATAATAATAATGATGATGATGATGATATAATAATAACAGTAATAATAATAATAATCATAATA